TTAATTAATTAAGTTTCTTGGTACCTTTCAGATATACATAATGATCACATTCATTGTAGGAAATTTGTACCTGTACAGGATAAAACTTGATTCTGTTTTTGTCCCATTTCCTGCCCTCCCTTCAACCCCTCCTTTCCCCCTTATTTACAAAAGTTTTCTTTCCATTTTTTTCCTAACTATAATTTTCTCACAAAGAAAACTCTAGACCCAGATTATTTCCCTGAAGAATTCTATCAAGCATGAGGAAGAAATAGGATCAATTAGATGTAAGTAATTTAAGGAATTAGATGAAAACTACTTTCTTTTTTTTTTTTTTTCCGGTACTGGGAATCGAACTCACGACGTTGTGATTGCCAGGCAGGCACTGTGCTGCTGAGCTAAATCCCCAGCCCTGAAAACTACTTTCTTTATGTTTTTAAAATCAGCACTATGCAGATACCAAACTTTTTTTTTTTTTTCTGATACCGGGAATGAAACTCATGACCTTGAGCTTTCGAGGCCGGCGCTGTGCCGCTGAGCTAAACCCCCAGCCCCCCAAACTTTTTTAAATAACAAGAAAACCAAAGACTCATAGCTTTCCTGAAGATAGATGCAAACTCCTAAGCACACTATTAACCAATGGAGTCCAGCAGTATATAAGGGACACGGTACCCTGATCAAGTGGGTTTAGCCCCAGAGTTCAGGTGGGCTCAATATTCCAAAATCAGTCATTCTAAGCCACCACCACATTTACACAGGAGACGAACATTAGGAATTCTCGGCAAAGACAACACTCAGGGCCGAAAAGCCCCCAGCACACCAGGTCCTTCCCTGGCAGTGAGCTGGGAGTCGACTTCCCAGCCTGGGACAGAGCCTCCTCCCAGAGCCTGGTGACCTCACCCCGGGGAAGGGGAGGAAGGCAGTGCTCTCTCCCTCAGCTCAAGGGGCGGCGAGCGCCCAGCGCCCTGGGCCTTCCCAGCATGGTGCTGGATGCTGGGTCACAGCACACACCGAGGACAGGAGGCAGGGGTGAAATCCTTGGGAAGGAAGAGGGCCAACTGCTTGGGGTTTGTTGTGTGGTTTTGTGGTGCTGGGGATCGAACCCAGGGCCCAGCACTCGCTGAGCAAGCCAGCGTCCTGGCTGAGCTGCATCCTGAACCCCAACACTCTTTTCACTCTGTGTTATGATTATGTAAATAAAACATCCCAAGGACTCTCTGAAAAACAAAACAAAAAGTTGCTAGAACAACAAGTGAATTAATCAAGGTTACAGGATCAGAGGAAATTTCTATAATCTTGCTATTTTTTTTTTAAATTTTGAGACAAGGTCTCCCTACATTACCCTGGGTGGCCTCAAATCTATGATCCTTCTAGCTCAACCTCTCCAGTAACTGGGATTACAAGTGTGTGTCACCACATCGTTATTTTCTACCAGTTTATTGCTTAGCTTTTCATACCCTTAATAGCCTCAGTTGTAGGGCAAAAATGTTTAATTTGATGACATTCAGTGATACATTAACTTCTAAAAATATATATATATTAATTTTTTTCTTTCATGGAATGTGCTTCAGGTATTATGTACAAGAACTTTCAACCAAGCCCCAAGTCCTAGAGATTTTCTTGTATCTTACCATCTAAAGTTTTTGGGGTTTTTGTTTTTGTCTTTTTGAGACAGGGTTTCACTATGCAGTTCAGGCTGGCCTTGAGCTCACTTTGTAGCCCAGGCTGGCCTTGAACTCGCAATGATCCTCCTGCCTTAGCCTCCCGAATGCTGAGATTATAGGGGTGCACCACCACATCTGGCTGATTTCAAAAGGATTCATTAGCCCAAGTAAACAAAAGGTAATGTAAGTTGTGAGGGAGATTACAAAAAAATTCAGAAAAGAAAGTGAAAAGGTATATGATATGAGATGTGTATGTACCAGTTCCCCAAGATGAATGTTTGTTTTAGATATCAAAATATATACTAACAAAAAATGTTAAATAAAACAATAATCAAAAAACGCAGAAGCAGACATAGTGACAGTCCTGTACAGCCAGCCACAAGGAAGGCTGAGGCAGGATGATCAAGGGAGCCCAGGTGCTCAAGGCTACCTTGTGTAACATAGCAAGACCCTGTTTCAAAAGAACAAAAATAAATTTAAAAACAGCTGAAAGAAAAAAAAGCTCTGGGGCAAGTGCAGATGTTGATTAAATATTTGTGCACTTTGAGCTGGACCCACAATGTGAACAGAGTGAGGGGCCCAGGGAGAAGCCTAAGTTTCCTGGGCTCCTACAGAGCTGGTTTGCTTCCTTTCCTTGAGCTTCAGCCTCCTGGTTTCAAAGAAGGAGAAGAATTCCTAAGGTCTCTGTGAAGATAAACAAAGCCACAGGAAAAGGAAAAACATCTCGCCAAGCCTCCCCCTCTAACACCGCCCCCTCCCGCACATCAGCCCTCAAGAGAAGAGCCGCCTTCTCTCCTCTTTCACAGTCCCCAGGGCTTAAAAAAGTGTCCTCTCTCAGGGTAGTGGCCATGTTGAGGTTGGGGACCGCCATTTGTGCAGACCTCTCTTCGTGTGCCAGTAAATGCATTCCTCCAAGTGGGCATTGATGAGCACGGGCCAGCCAGCCTTATCCACCCAGGAACGACATCACCATGGCAACCGCCATTGTTCCCAAGCACACAATCTCTGGGTTCCTTTAACTGAGACCGTAAAACCCCTACTTATAGACTCCTGTTCCTTCCCATAGCTTGCTAGGAGGTAGACCCGTCTATAGGAAGGACAGAAATTACTACATATAATCTATACCCTCAAAAGAATATCAATTAGAAAACCCAAAGCAGCCAGCTGAAATTTTCAGAAGGTAATCAACCCCACCCAACTACCTCCCAGATTTGACTGCCTAAAGGACTCCTCACAATTGGTCTAGTTCAAGCCAGGAAGAAACATTTTTAAAAATAATAATTAACATTTTGGTGCCATGGTGATGGTGTTGCTAGGAAACAGTCCGTGCTGAAGAGGGGGAGATTCAGGAAAGCCTTGTGTCTTAAACTCAGAGCAACCACTCTGGACTCATTGGTAGAGCATTTGTGTGCCAGAGGGCAGGAAACAAATCCAACTAAAATTCAAGGGGCCACTCTCTCAGGGAAATTTCTAGGAGTCCTGTGCAGAAATGTGAGAGTATCCCAATAAAGTGAAGAATAGTTAGCTGCATCTTCCCCCTCCTATAACCAATAAACAGGCACAAGGCCCAGTGGGCCTATTTGGACTTAGGAGCAACACCTTCCTCACTTGGGTGCGTTACTCTGCCCCCTTTAGCCAGGGAGTCAGAAAGCCCTAGTCGGACAGAAGCCCAGAGCAAGAAAAGGCTGAGCAACAGGTCCAGACTGCTGTGCAGGCTGCCCCGACACTCGGCCGTAGGATCCAGCAGATCCAGTGGTATTTGGGTTGTCAGTGGCGGATGGGGTGCTATTTGGAGCCTCTGTCAGGGCCCCACAGGGGACCCCCACTAGATGCCCCTAGGGTCTGAGAGACCCTCTCAAATGACAACTCTCCATCGGAGAAACAGCTCCTGGCCTGAAGCTGTGCCTTAATGGGAATTGAATGCTTGATCATGGAACTCTCAGTGACCATGAGACCTGAGCTGCCCGTCATGACCTATTCCACTCTCCAAGCCTAGAGGCCAACACACACAGCACCCGTCTATCATCCGGAGGAAGTGGTATACACCTGATGAGGCCGCGTCAGGTCCTCAAGGCTCCATTCAGGTGGGTGAAGAAGTGGCCCAAATGTCCATGGTTCTTTGTCTAGGTAGTCTGCCTTCTGTCCCCCAGGAAGCACCAATGGCTTCTTGAGGTGTGTCCTAGATCAGCTGAGAGAGGAAGACAAGAGCCTGGTTACTTGCGGTCCACATGTTATAGGGGCACCTTCTGCAAGTGGACAGCTGCAGCACTACAGCCCCTCTTTTGGGCATCCCTGTAGGACAGTGGTGAACAGACATTTTCACAGTGCCCAGACGTCAAGCAGTGCACCTGGTCATATATTTTGAGTGGAAGAGATTGACTATGACCTTTAATGGTGATTGTCAATTTAACTGGGTTAACAAACGTAGCATATTACTAAAGTGCACCGTGGGTGTGTCCGTGGGTGTTGCCAGAGATGGGCCGGGAAGATGGCTCAATGGCACAGCACCTGCCTGGCAAGTGCAAGGTCCTGAGTTCGATTCCCGGTACCAAACAACCCTCCCCAAAAACCAGAGATGATGGTGTGTAGGCCAGCAATCTTAAGGGAGAAGCCTCCACCGACGGGGGTGGCACCATCCGATAGGCTTGTAGTCTAGACAGAAAGATGGGGGAACGAGGAGGAAGCTGCCAGCCGCGGGTATGGGACAAGCTGCGTTCTGCTCGAGCGGGTGTGTGTTTTGCTACCACCATCGCCTGACTCTGCAGAACTTCCGGACCTCAGTCTCAGACTGGTGATGCATCCTTGTCTTTCTTCAATACGCTTGGTGAGTTTATTGTGGAATTAACAACGACACCAAAATTGAAAGTGCTTTACAAGGTGCAAAGCACCGCTTACGTGGTTAGTGTTCATCACTCCAGCCGCTTTCACGGTGGAGAAATTTGTGGCCCTCAGGATCAAACCTTGTCTCCAAGTCTTAACAGCTAAATAGAGCCAAGAGTGTTCAGTTATCTCCACCCATCAAATTCTACCGAAATTTCCAAGCCTGGTTCACCTACATATTTCCCCCAGCCTAAGGCAGTGGGCCAAGAGACATCCTGGCTTGGGACCCCAGCTCAGCCATGTAGTTATTACACGCTATGACTGTGACACACACTTTTCCCCTGGCTCCCTCGGCTGCCATTTTAGGAATAAGAACAGTGCAACAGTTGGAATAAAAAATGTCCCCCAAATCTCATGTGTTCAGAGGTTGGGTTTGAAAGGTGACGAGCGGCTGGAGCGCCGATCTCACACTCGCCCACTCGGGTGGAAGGCGGGGCCGTCGCCGGAAGTGGCTCCTGGGGGTGTGGCCTGAAGGGGGCGTGGCCTCTGCCTCTTCCTGCTCGCGCGGCTTCCTGTCTGCCCGGGCTCAGAGCGGCTCCGCTCGCCATATTGTTTGCTTTCCAGTCAGCGGAGCACGAAGCGAAACCGTGAGTCAACATAAACCTCTCCTGCGTTAAGTTGTCCGAATCAGGCGTACCTCGCCACGCCAGGTCCTCAGTCGCAATAGTGGCCCCGGCAGCCCGGTTCCCTGCCACTCCCTCTCCTGTTTGCATCCGAGCCCGGGGGCTTCGAGGAAGGCTCGCTCGCTCGGCGTGACGAGACCAGCAGTCTCCTCCCTCGGCCCCACCCCGTGGCCGGCCGGCCCGGCTCCTCGGCAGCCCCGGGGCGGCGGCGGCGCTGGGGACTCG